AAGAACATGCTGAGACATGTCATGTCTCTGTTAGTGCGTAGCATCGCTTGAAGAGGTACACGACCTGAAAGCAAATTCAGATGGGGAGGGCGCGAACAGTCTGTGCCAGCTTCGTCTGCTCTTGAAGCGCATGCCTTACAGCAACAACACGAAGGAGAGGCAAAGCTAAAACCTCAGGTGCTTGGGCTGAGGTTTGCAACACGCTGGCAAACGGCACTCCTTGCCGAACACGTGCACCTTTCCTTAGCGGACTTTGGGTGTGAGGCGTCTTGTGCACTATGTCAATGCCAGAAAAACAAGGCATGAGCAGCACAAGCTTCGAAACTTTAAGAAGATGGTGTTATAAGAATATAAAGGAGCCCCAGTATAATCACCCTTCTATTTCCGGGCGGGGGGGGGGGTCCACCTAAGTGCTCCCGCTCTACAACATCATCGCCGCACTGAACTTCATTCTTGACCCTGAGGGTCCAAGTACCCAATAATCAAATTTTTACCCCAAACGTGGTACTATCCTTACTACGACCCAAGCCCCAAGTACCAAATTTGAGCACTTGGTCACTGAGGGCTATATATGCAAAGCACAAGACGTGATGGCTCCCTGGGTGATCAGCTTCTACGACCCGGCTTCCTAAAATCATCTGACCCTTTACTAGGGTAGCTTTGGGGGCCCTGCAGAAATCAGATGTTTTTGGCTTTACAGGGGTTATGTAGGAATCAAAGGTAATAACAAATAAGAATTGGCCCAGATTTTTCCACTTTTCTGCTAAAGCGTAGCTGTACCTCTAGAGTAAACAAACAACATGAAAAGGTTCAGCGTCAAGCTTTTATAGCATCTGGGCTTGCAGCATCTCAGGGAATTGCCTTTCATAATAACTTTACATCATGCTTTTGCTTGGCGGGAAAAGGCCGTCTCAGCACTATTGTGTTGCAGTGAATCAGGGTGCTATACCCCCAGTACGATCCATCTTCCTCACGGCCTCTCTGCCCGTCCCAGATCCCTGGAGAAGTGGAAATTTCAACAGATTCATGTCATTTAGAGCTTCTCATTGGTTTTGAAAGGACCCCCTCAGCAGCACGCAAGCGGGGTTTCAATCAAAACCATGGACGAGCAGCGGGAATGATCCAAGGTAGTCTTCACTAGCCCCGTCATCATCCGGGTGCACCTTGCCCAGCAGTTCAAAGCTCAAGCCATCGCCTTCTTGCAAACAGGAAAGATGTACCTACCCCAAGCATCCATAATAACAGCCTACGTACATACCCCTTATTTTGGCTTGAAAGTATTACACGTATTTGGGAAGCCTAAATACCTGCTCGTGGCAACAAAGAGGCTGCAGTGGAGGGGCAGGTAGGAGGCACAGGCTTCCTCAAACTTTTAGACTGCAGTATACTCCTCCTGCCTTATTTTGCCGCGGGCAACCCTCAACAATCGGACAGAGGAAAGAGAAATTAGAAATTGCGGCAGGAACCTGACATGGGGGGGTTTCGAAGACTAGGGGCCCTTTTTTTGCACCTGGACTCCCACAGGCTCTGGGAACACAAAACCCAATACCCTGCATGATGCCGCCGCACTGGGGATCACTGGGGCGCAGACTCGTCGACCTGTCATGCCCCGCGGCGAGAGACACATGTCATGATTCACTCCCCATTACTTACTGGTGGTTAGTAGGGAATAGGGGGAATATATTCTATATGGGGATTATATAGGGCATTTATTATGTATTCCCTACGAACTTAACAACTGGTTCGGTATGTGGAACACAAGCAGCAGATCAGCCTGTGGAGAAACAATGTTGTTCTGTGTGGCAATACTATTGTATTCCCCATGTCATTGGACTGTACGCCCTGGGCTATGTCCACTCAACTCAGACTAGTCTTTCCGTAGCTTTTACGCAAACAGCCTGACAAAGGTGTTCATTCCTTGCGCTGGTTTTGGCAGAGAGCAAACTCAACTCACAACAGAGTTCGTTGGGTTTAGCGTCGCTGCTCGTTGTTCATGGGCACTCGGAATGATTCGCCCGGTCTTTGAGGATACAGGTTGCGGCTATGCTTTTCGGATAGTACCACTACCAAAGCCTTTACAATTGTAGGTTGCCAACTCTGGTCAGTGCTAGGTTGCAAGAAGTCGCCCGCCGCCACCCTACTGGAATTGCAGCCCTAAATTTCGCACAGTCCGCGTAGGCATTGCTCGCGCATGGCAAACACAGCCAACTGATTGCTAGCGCCGCTGTTCGAAATTGCCGCGCCGCTGCGGTCATCACAACGCCTACTACATCTACTGCTGCGACTCCCCATTCCCCCTCCTCCTCAGGCTTCCACGAAACAAGCAAAGCACTTCATGAACATTGCATCAAGCCGACATCGGGCGCAAACCAAGTCAAGCCCCTCATTTAGCAACGCACCGCATGCTCACCCAGCGCGAAGCGTTAACACAGCGCGTCTACAGCAAAGGGGGCTTGGCAAAGGCCCGTGTGTTCGGCAATGACTGTTCTATCCCAGCAGGATTAAGCCGCTAAACGTTCAAGTGCTTCGGTGACATTCACCCCCAAATCCTGAAAATAATTGAGAAAATGAGACGATAACAACAAGGACGCATAATTTTGAAGTATGGGTCGCGCCTGCTCCTTGAGATGATCACGTTTCGCTCGCTTCTCGTTGAGCAGCTTTGCGATCTGGCAGCTCATTTGCGTACATGTGAGTAGCGTCGTTTTTGGTGGTTGAACAGTTGAACCTAGTAAGACTATATTCCTTATATAAGACACTATACCCAAAAGGAGGATATAATCTTAATCTTTAGTGGGTACCATAATATCCCCAAATAAGTACTATACTCGTGTAGGGTTCCCGAAGTACATGTCACCTTCAAAGCGGACAGCCGGAATTTACACCACCTCTAGGAAAATTTCCGTGCAAGCGGAAGACCTTATACGTGGCATGCTGAGTCTCACCAGGATCCCAACAGGAGGAACGCAACTGAAAGAACAAAGTGCGAACTCAAGGAATGGCGGGTCTCACAGAGTTAGGAGCGTTGGTGTGGGAGATTGTGTCCATGGTCACAGAGGTGACCGCTATTCTTTAGTGAGTAGTCGCAGCGATGAATGTGTGGCGCCTGGTTGTAGCGCGTTTGACAGTCATTCAACTCCTTGTCCTTGGCCTCAAAAAGCTCCTTTGCAAGGTGCAGCAGAACTGTAAGACTGTACGCGTCTGTGGCCCGCATGAGCTGCTGTAATGCAGATCGCTTAGATATATGTTAAGGGCACACTGAGGAGTTTCTGAGTCTGTCAAACATCCAGCCGGCATCCTGCGCTCTGATCAGGTGTTCCAACGCTCGCTCGCGTTTCTCTGATCGCTTCTCCTGACCTGGGCAACTCAAGCAGACCCAGGTAGCAATTGCGCTACATGTTCGATATACCGGATGCAGCTTGCTGCAACTTCCTGTTTGGCTTCAGGCCGCTAGAGAACACACTTGGTTACTTCCAGCGCAGGGGACTCATTGTAGTATGGCGCGGGGCCTGCGGGGACAAGGCAGAGTAAACCACTCTCGGGCCTCCATGCACTTGCACCAGCCCCTGCAAACAAAGAGTTGATGCTGCTTTCCTGATGGCTCACTTGTCACGCCAAATCGCCAAAGAACCCAGGGCTCCAGCAAGTACTGGCTAGGATGCCACTACCCAAACCCGGACGTCTCGATGTTTTTTGCATGAGGCTGGGGTGTTCGAACACTTTTGGGGGGAAGACTCCTCCAAGAGACGTTTAATTGTAAACACCTGCCCGCCAACTCAACGGCTGAACCGTACGCCTGAGGCCCAAATTTCCAAAATCTCAAACCTCGAAAAGTCCTACAATCTATAGAAAGGCAACCCAAACCTGCTTGAGACTTTTTCTTGCAAGACTTGTTCTTGCAAGGTTGGAGCTGCGCTCAGCGCCTCCTGGACCCATTTCTGCCTGGGAAAGTCGGGGCTAGTAAGGAGCGGTTAAAGATTTACGTTTAGGAGGTCGAAAACAAGACTGGCAGGTTGTGGGCTGCTGCAGGTGTTTGATACAAATATTAAAGCCATCCCCCCGACTACTAAATACTTTCATTCTGGTATATGGAATATTTGGGAACATCTACTATTAGGGGGGGGGAGGTGGGGGAGGATTAAAGGCTTCATAGGGAAGGCTTGACAAACTCCCAGATCTTTACATTGCAACATAGCAAATAGCGAGCGGTAAAGGCGAAAACTGTGAGCAGCACCGGTGAAAAATGCAAGCCCGAATTCTATACCCAAACTTAAACCGCGTGGAGAGAAGCCGGGCAACAAAGTGTATCAGCTTTCGTGAAGGATGATGATCTTCTGGGTCCCTTTCATCCGCTGCTCCCATTAAGCCTTGTGGCCGTACCTCCATAATCATCCATATGTTGGGTCCCCTCCTCATGAAAACACCTGATGAGGAGAGCTCGAATCTTGAGACCCGTCCATACTTGCTTCCAGCAAGCCTTTTGCTCCCAGCATCATGGCCAACATTTGTCGACGCGCAGTAGTATTACCAGGCCACAGCAATGAAGCCGTTGTTCAGAGAGGCCACCCATTTTCTGCGGGTCTTTCTTTTCCGATAAACTGCCCAAATCTGAGTACCCTGTACAACAACCGGCGGGTCCCACTTATACACCTCAGAGATATACACACATGTTGCCTGTACTAGGAAGACTCTAGAATCAAGGTAGCTCCCCACCTCATAACCCCCTTTGGAATCTTTTGGAAGTCCTTCTCCCTCGTAGCCCAGCCTGGAATCTTTTGAAATCTGCCTGAGGCTTCGCCGACCCTATATCCTTCCAACCTCCATTTAATCTTCCATTTTCTTTTCATTATCTTCTGGGGTAGCATGCCAAAACTCTAAACCCTAAATAGTAGCTGCCGTTCTCTTTTTCATTATCCCTCTATATGTGTATATATCTATCCCCACTCAAGCCTCTAATAGTTCCAGAATTCTTAGATAGCTTTTTACACAAAGCTACTCACCTGCCTCTGAGCATGCCCCAGTCGTCGCCAGGAGTGGAAGGCCAGGGTGCAAACGCGCCAGCCCCGTGCCCTGTCACAGCCAAGCTTGGAGGTTCAGAGTAATTAGAACCCATTCTTACCTGCATGCGCAATCCAATCAGGTTATGCCTGGGTTATGAGTAAGTACCAGCTCTACTTGGGCTATACTATACTTACTATGAAATTCCAAGTGGTTGGCACTCTTTAAAAGGTAAATAAATGGGATTTGGGAAATGAACCGCCAGCAGAAGACACGTTCAGAGAGATTTCTGTCCAAGGTTTTTGCAGGTCCGTAAGCTTCAGACCCCCAAACAAGCTTCACAATTTCAATGAAAGATTTGATTTGGGCCAAACTTACTTGTAGTCTAAACGAAAAATCCTCAAGCTTCCCCCTCGGTAGAAAACCACCCACACGAATTTAGATGGAGGCATGGGAGTGCAAGGGAAAGCCCTCAACCCTAAACCTATTTAGGGTTCAGGGATTTAGGGTTTAGGGTTCTGGGATTAGGGATTTAGGGTGTAGTTGCAACTTGGGGCAATCCTTTAGCCATCCTGGTTGTCTTGTTCGAAGCCTTCTTTCGGAGACTCCCGGATTTGTTCAACTCTGCAAGTACATGGTGTTCTTTCCCAAGTTGTGGGTACCATTTTGGGGGTCCCCATACTAAGGATGATTGAATTTCGGAGGTCTGTATTGGGGCCCTCCATTGTGATAGCAAGTACCACATCTTGCACGTATCAAAATGCTGCACAACATGAGTGTCCTGAACAATGCCCATATCAACTAACCCTAAACCCTAAACCATGTCTGTACCCGCCTCCCCCTGACAATGCACTCGGGGGTTTCCCAAGATTAGGGTTCCTTTTGGAGATCCCAATAATGAGGATCATTGTATTTGGGGGTCTATGTTGGGGTCCTTCTATTTTAGGAAACTACCACTTGCCTGCAGCAGTCTGTTGTACAAAATGTGTTGGTCTGGCAGTTGCTTTTGGCATGTGGCACTGCTACTTGTCTGGGTTGTCATTCTTATTGGGGCCCGCACTAAAACTACTACATTGGAGGGTCTAGGCAATCAAGCCCTATGAAGCCTAAAAGCTCCGCCAACCCAGCGGAGGCCTCAGCAGGTGCACCTGCGCCCTTCTCTCGTGGCAAAGCTCCAAAGCCTGAGGTGGCTCTAGGCTGGGAATTTGGACAACACTAACCCACAAAGCCAGCAAACCCCTTTGTATTTTCCAAAGTATGGGCCCCATGTCAACCTAAATATGATCTGCCGTACTATGACTCTGGCTTCTAAGGTTGCAGTCTCAGAAAGTCGACGAGTCGAGGAGGTATGCAGCTCTTAGGTAACTCACCCGGGAACATTCCACACACAAGAAGCAAATTAGAAAAGCAAATGAAATGCCAGGTCAGGGGTTGGGGTTAGGGTTTTGGGGTTTAGAGTTCAGGGTTTAGGATGTGTCTATCCTCATTTTAGACGAGGGGGGGAAATGTTAAATGAAAAGCATGCAGTTAAGCCTTCTTTGTCTTTATAGTATAGTCCGTTACGCAAAGGAGACAGCAAAACCTCACAAACCTCATGACAGCCTTGTAGGGGACCCTGCTTAGAGCCGGCAAGCAGCATCCTGATCCCCATCTGGGTCCTCCTCTGAAAATGGGGCGCGCGTGGAGATCTTGAAGTAGGCATCTTCCGGCATGAGGCAGAAGGCTGTTCCCCCAACAGCCGCGTGGATTTCAAAAGGCCCTTCCTTAGAACTGGAATACACCGTGGGGAAGAAGTAAGATTCCGAAATTCTTGGTCTACTTGCAAGGTCTAGAGTCTAGAAGCCCCCAACCTCAAGGCTTACCTTTAGTTAGCTAGGAATGAAGGCATCGATCCTTATAGTAGTCCCTATAAAACCATTATAAATAGTTTCCATTTCTTTTCCATTCCTTCACTCTCAGCTAACCAAAGGTAGGAAGGAAGCTAACAAATGTACTCCTCTGGAGCCTGGCTTCCCAGTGAGGGCCCTCCACCACCGCCTTAGGAAGGGAAGCCCGAATGTGCTCCTGGAGCTCCAAAGCCACCGGGCGATTTCGGTTCTCCACCTTTTAGGGTTTAGGGTTTAGGGTTTAGGGCTGCGTTGGGGCCAAGCACTAAAGCAACCAAGCACTCTTTCAAGAGCTGTGCAGGGCTCCATGTGCTTTTGTAACATAAACTGGGGTTCGATTGAGTTTAAATAGGCTAAACTGAGGGTCCCAAAGGCCCACAACAAACACATCCTTGAGTCCTGGATTTCAGAAACCTCCCCACGAGGGAACATGACCTTTGGGCACATATCCACCTGTCTTGCAGCGCCAGGACTTTCCTTAGTCTTGTTACTCGAGGAACAAAGAGAGGGACATTGTGCCAACATATGCATTTATACATATACACACACATACATACATACATACATACATACATACATACATACATACGTACATGCATACATACATACATACATACGTACATACACGTAACGGGGAAGGCCCATATGCCCAGGAAACATGAATGAATAACACCTACAAATTGCATTGTAAGGAGTTTACATTCAGTTACTATAATAGGGAAACCCGATTTGTACTACATTCCCATATTACAACAATCTTATCATTACATGAATCTATGATAGTAATAGTAATGTTAATCATAACCCTGCATAACCCCATTTTAACCCTATAATCCGCTATATACAGTCCCCCCTAAGTAGATAGAATGCGGCTTTGGGTATATATATATATGTATATATATACATATATTCGATCTACTTAAGTGGGGCTATAACTCTAATACCATAATAATATTAATGACTCTATCTAACCCTATCTAAACCCTATAACCCCCTATGTAACCCTAATATGTTATCTAAGTCCCAGGTTCAGAGCCCCAAAGAAGCTGTAAAGCTGCCGACTGCTTCGCTGTCTCCGGCTGAAGCTGTGTAGGGCGCTCCGTCGCCTACTTATGGTCCCCCTTAGGTAGATAGAATATGGTTTTGGGTGTATTATAATAAGATCCCCATATATACCATATTCTATCTACTTAAGGGGGACTATATCTTTTGAGGGTTGGGGGTGTAGGGATGGGTCTAGGGGCTACATCATTTTGAGGGTTTTGGGTTTAAGGGCTACATGATTTTGAGGGTTTTGGGTTTTGGGGGTGCGGCTACATGATTTCGAGGTTGCGGGTTTAGGGGCTACATAAGCTACAGTCAATATCTTTAGCGAAAACAAGATTTTTTCGGTAGCATATAACGGGCTATGCTAAACTATCAGAGAGACCTTCATGTCTACCCGTAATGGTTCCCTGCTAAACTTAAAATGAACAGCAGCTCACACCTGATATCGGGGTTATGCAACAGATATACGGGGTGTGCAGAAAGACTCGTGGATAATTTCATGGAAAAGGCTATGGAGACTGAAATGGAAGCTGCGTTGATCCAGGACATTTTTTTAAAAAAAGGTGCCATGTAGGGGCCCACTAAATACCAATATCATGCCAAGGTCTATTGGAGAACATTCATGGTACTTGTTAAGTTGTAGACGGAGCTTGGTCCCTCCAGGGCCTTCCATGCCATAGAGGTGGCTTCCCAGCTTTGAAGGAAGGTCGTCCAGGCCGGATTTGTAAGAGAGGTCCCATCGCCACCTGGACGCGCACAAGCTGGGATGTCATATGAGCCATAATCTAAACTCCTGGTATCCCCCCTTCATAGCCCGTATAGTACTCCCCTACATAATCTCCAGTAAACCTCCTCCAAGGCGTTTTGACTAAAGCTCATATGAGCTACCCTCCATTTCCTTGTAGTCAATGGTCACGGGGCTTTATTAGGGAATATATTTGGGAGTATATCAAACCACAAAAAAAACCCTTGTGTCCACTCTTAAAGATTCCTTGGTAAGCTTAATTCTGACGGTAGCTCAAAGGAGGCCTGGCACAGCCCTTTATCAACCAACTGTTACTTACCACAAGAACAACTTCCGCAAAAGATGCTAGACCTTGTAGCAGCTCTGCTTACATGAGCCATTGTCTACACTCCTGTATCCCGCTCAATAACCCCTATCATGCTCCCCTATATAACCTCCCTTGAAGGAGTTTAGACTGTAGCTCACATTTGTTCTTCTAGGGGAAGACTGTTGCTGTCAAGATGGCAGACCCGCCCTTCAAGATACCAACTGCTTGACACCAAGTCGTCCATGAGGCAAGAGTCGGGGGCTTCTTAAGATGAAGGTTTAGGGATCATAAGGGATGTCTTCAGGGTTCTTCCAGGCATCATTTGTAAACTCAGGAAAAATAGCTCAAAAACATGGATGTTCTCTGTGACAAGGGCTATAATATAATATACTATAGGATCTCATCTGGTACTAACTTGGCTTTTCCTTGCCTCCGTTTAAACTCCCAACAACCTAGTTGCTGAATTTTCCGCCCCCCACGACGCTTAAAAGCACAGCTGGCTCTATAGGACCCAAAACATGAAAGCTCGTCCGCTCAGCTACCGCGACTCAGTCAGGAATTAGGACCCAACAATTCTTCTGTCGTATGGCATAGTATGTGGTGGTTTTGGGGGGGGCCTAACTGCTCAGTTGTAACATTAAAGACCTTGTTAGACTAACATCATTTGGTGACTTCGACACCCTCATCCGCCCACAGCTCCGGGTACAAGCAGAGCCTCAGCTCAAAGGCTCTTCAACAACGTGGTGATGATAGGGAGATATAGGGATATGCTGGGTTGTGTGGGGTTGTATAGGCTTGTACGATTAGGAGAGACCTAGGGTTCAGCAACTAGAAAATTACAGAAATTCACAGGGGAAAGAACATGGAGCATAAAATGGCCACTATTGACGTATGGCAAACTGTCGTAGTTAGGGCCCCTGTTAGTTAGGGGCCACAGTGCATTAACAACACGAAAAGGGACCGTGATGTTGACAACGGAGTTTGCACAAGTTACATCTAGCTCCAAAATATTGGCAACTGCCTAGGCCGTTACAGGACGCAAGAGGGACTCCCTGGAATATGTTTTCAGACATATGAGATGAGACCCCGGTCGGTTGCCCTTCACTGAAGCGGTGTTTAAAAGAAGCAGACAATACCGCTAACCCTGTGCAAGTCCCTTCCAGGGTATAAAGAGGCGTCGTCAAAGCTGCTTTAGGGGATGGGGGCTGCGTCCTGATTGAGGGAGAGGCACATGAAGCAGCAGTCTACGAGTCTAGTGCGTGCTAGGTGTATAGAGAGGAGAACAGATACAAATGCACTCAGCCAGGGTAACATACATGTGCTGTTGAGTTCTCCCTTACACCTCCTCAGTTTCCAAGCAGTGTCCGAGGAGCTGTGAGTAGACCAGCGAGGTCAGGAGTTCGAAGTCGAATGCCTCCACAGTTGCGAGAGCCAAGCAGCGCAGAGCCAGCTGCTCCAGCACCTGGGGCGTCTGCGTCTCGTTGCTCTCAAGCTCTTCTTGTTTGGAAAAAGGAAGAAGACAGTGTAGCTTGCCGAAAACAAAACGCCGTTTCTACACAGTGATCACTTGGGTATGTGTTTTTCTCAGTGTATTTGCCCTTACCTGCCCATGCTCTCCCCACTATGCTTGCCAGACCTCCTCGCACACTTGTTGTGGCTACATGCTGCCTGCGCGCCCCCGCTTTCGCTTCATGAACCAGGTTCCATCAAAGCAACTATAGTTCATCACGCCCCCTTTCGCGTAATGATGCTGACGTCAAGCCACCGCTTCCCTTCCCTACACACTTGCCAAGGTCTTGGCCTGGAGGACAACTGCTCTGCGGGGTTGGCGAAGAGGGAGCACTGTGTTCCATTTGTCCCAAGCATGTTCGTTTGGCTTGGCCCCATAAGCAGGCGCAAAGGGCTCTGCAAACTATCACACTTAAGCAAGCAATTCATCAACCTGAGATGTTAGAAGCGGCTGCTTGACAACGGTAACTTGATACTGGCTGAGTTACGTACAAGGACTCACCATAACTGACTCTGGAACCTTGGCAGGAGGCAGAGGTTCAAGCACCCTTTCGCAAGCGCTAGGATACCACAGAATTAAAGCCATAAGCCTGAAGTTTTGACCCAGGCCAAAGCCAGCCCACCCAATACAAACGAATTCAACAGTAAATCTCGTGACTCGATCTCCTACCGACATCTGGCCCAGCTTGCAGGCGCCTGCCAGCCGGGGCTGTCGGGCCTGGGTGTGACCAGATATGGTGGAAGCTGCCTCAGGGACATGTAAAGACTTCAGGCTCGGCTCAGCTGATTCATAGGTTCATGGGAGTGGGGGCATAAATATAGGGACAAACATTCATGGGGTATTTAGGGTTTAGGGCCAAGTTTAGGGGGACTCGGTTTGGGCTTTGGGCCTCAAAGCTCTGTAGGCGGTGGCGGCCTCCACGGGACTCAGGACAGGCAGAAGATTCTGCAGGGGCGGAAATAGAGCTTCCAGCGCACTGCCCCAGAACTCCGCCACAGCACCTGGCCGTTTACAATTAGGTTAAGGTGAGCTCTCCCCAGCACGTTCTATGGCAGATTCTATAATTGAATTTCCTATCATGGAAGGGCCTTTCTTTTCTGCACATGCCCTTTAGCACTAGGATCTCATGGGGTGCAATGTAGTGGGTCTTCATCCTGGCTTGCTCGTGCATCCACTCATTTACTGTCATGCTTCTATAAACTATAAACTTCATGGGAAACACCCGTCTCTCTCCCCAAGCTCGTACCAGTAGCCAGATTTATAACTGCCTGGTACTAGAGCTTGCTTTCAAAACAGAAGCTTGCGCCCCAATGTCAATGAAGCTTGGTTTACTTGGTCGTGGTTGGTCGGGAATAAGGAATATAACTTCTATGTAAATTATTCCCTTATTCCTTGATCACCCTAAACCCTAAACCTACATGGTTGTTTCCATTTTCGAATATCCCTAAATGATACTGATACCCCTGGATTCCTTTATTCCCTGCCAACCCCAGTAAGTTTGGACCCGTTTTTACCCCGGACTTGAATTTTAACCCTACACCCTAGATCTCTAAACCTTAAATTCCTAAACCCTAAGTCCCTAAACCTTAAATCCCTAAACCCTAAGTCCCTAGATCCCTAAAGCCAGCGACCCAGCTTCCATGGCCCACCTCCCCGATGCAAGCGGGAATCCTCCGCCGCCAGGCCAAAGGACTCCAGCAAGTCCAGGAGCCACCAGAGGCCTGGTGCAAGAGGTCTTACAGTATAAAGGGGTATATACATGTATGTATGTGTGTATGTATGTATGTATGTATGTATGTAGACAGACATACATAAATACACACATACATACATACATACATACATACATACTGAAAAAGTAACTGAGGTCTTCCAAGTAGATACACACAAGGCACACCTAAGTGTTCTCAAGCTGCATCAACACAAGTCCTTTATGCCGCAGACGCAATCAAGTCTTGAGCCAACATAAGTTGGCATGTCATGATTCACCTAAGTGATCACAGAGAAGTGTA